CCTGGGTCCGGGACACGTGCGCCCTTCGTGTCCTGCAGGCCTTACTAGCTCCCATCCAATCAGAAATCCTGACGGTGCCACGAACGGAGATGGAGATCCAATCAGAGAGCGCTTTCATAAGCGAGTGTTAAAGCGGAGGAACCAATCACGAGGCTCCCCACAGCACCTGTCTGCCCTTCGACCAATCAGACCAAGAACGCAATCTCAGGGGGTGGAGACAAGGGGCCTTCTATACACACGGGCTGCGCGCGCTTGGATGCCCACCTCCCAGCTCTATCACAACGGGTCCATTTTGCTTTCAAACACACCTGCTCCATCTGCCCTGTCATCAGAAGAATAAACAAAGCCAAGCCCTCGAGGGCATCAAGAGAAGAGAAGGGACCTGGAGTGGAGATCAGGATGTTGTCCTCAGTCCACAAGTCCAGGTCACACAGGGAAGCTGAGATCACAGGGGTCCCTGCTTGTGGGGTGATTTCTGGTACCTGAAAGAATGAGACGTTCTTTATCTGGGCAAAGTCAGGCTCTGGTGAGTACAGATCAGTTTAACCTGAAATGCAAAAACTCAAGTTGGGGGGCGGGGGGGGGAGTCAAAATAATGATCAGCTTCCTGCTGATCTGTTACATATTTTTTCTTAATTCTTTCTCCAGCTGTTTACCATCTCACCCTTTCCCTTCCATGAGCAGCCAGCTCAAAAACATGTTAAATGAGAAGGCAGCCCTAGACTCCATTTTCTAAGCCATGTGAGGTCAGTTTATCCCCAAACCCCTGAGTCTCACTTTGCTCATCTGAAGAATTGAGACCTCCACCCAGCAGTGATGTGAGTTAAGTTTATAAAACTGCAGGAGAGTGAGAACCAGTGGCGCACATCTGTAATCCTAAACTATTCCGAAGACTGAGATCTGAGGACCCCTGTACAAAGCCAGCCTGGTCAGAAAAGCCCTTGAGATTGTTACTCTGATTGACCAGCAAAAGGCCAGAATGGAAGTGTGGCTCAAAGTGTAAAGCACCAGCCTTGAGTAAAAAAGCTGAGTGAGAACTCGAGGTCTTGAGTTCAAGCTCCAGTACAAACACACACACACACACACACACGCACACGCAATTTCCATGAATCTGTACAAATTATATTGAAGCATGTCAACCTAGAGTGGAAGATCTCTTTTTATTAAAAATTTGCAGAAAAGAACAAAATTTCCCTTTAATACATTACTGATTCCTTTGTCCATGAGTGGCCCTTTCCTGCCTGCCCACCTTCCCTCCCTCCCTCTAGATCAGAAATGACATTTCTACATCCCTTTCAAGCAGTACAATTGCAATGTGGTGATTCCCCGGGGCAATAGAATAACTGCCTCTTCTCCAGTTCTATTTTTTTTCCCTTTTCTTTCTTCTTTTTTTTCCCCCTTGACAACAAAAAGCTTTTTTTTCCCTTCAGACAAGAGGTAACATCACCCTGTCAATGTTAAATTCTGGCAGAAATGAAGCCACTAAAATAGAAAGAGGGAAAAAATATATTTTGGCAGCAGCCAGGAATAAGGAAGCATAGCACTTACTGTGCTGTTTGTATTTTGGGGACATGGGTATTATGGGCTATGATGGTTAATGGGTATCTAAGATCTCTTTTCAGGTCATGTGGCAGGTTGAGTGCATTGACATTCCATTTTTTGTGGGTCTTTTTAATCTTTCCTTTTAATGTCACATTGTAGTCCTCCCCTCTCCCCCAGAAAAGAGGCAGAATGTGCTAGGTGCCCGTTGCTTACACCTGTAATCCTAGTTACTCAGATCCTCAAGATCTGAGGATCTTGGTTCAAAGCCAGATTGGGCAGGAAAGTGTGTAACACTCTTGTGTCCAATGAACCACTAAAAAGCCAGAAGTAGAGGTGTGGCTCAAGTGGTAGAGTGCCAGCCTTGAACAAAAAAGCCAAGTGAGAGTGCAGTGTAAGGCCCTGAGCTTAAGCCCCAGGGCTGGGACCACTCCTCCTTTCTTCAAGGAGGAAAAAGAAGGAAGCAGAAGATTAATGTGTCTGTATTTTTTGAGCATGGGCATACAAGCAGCTCTGCCTGAGGTTGCCACCAGTCATGATGTAACTACAACCTTTAGAAAGTGCTGCTGTGTTTCCACTAATTCTTTGGGACTGACATTACTGTGACAAGGCAGGAAGGAAAGCCACATGATCCAAGGCAAGGCCATCCTGGGCTATACTCCCAGCAGCTGACCACAGATGCAAGAGCAAACCTGCCCACATTAAACAGCTGACCCAGAGGCTTGTCATGAAAAACAAATATCTATTGTTAGAAGCCACCGAAGTCTTGTTGTTGGTTGTTGCACCGTAGTAACTAAGACTGTGCATTTGCCTTCAATATCAATGCCTGGAAGTGGGTCAAGACTTCTGTAACTGACATTGTGAACAAATCCCTGTACTTCACGACTCACTGAAAGGATAATTCATAGCTGTGAGAGCTCGTTTGAAATTTCCATTCCATAAAAACTTCCCTTTCATATGTTCCCACATACAGCCTACACACCCTTGACCCTGTGCAAAATCATAAATCATTCCAGTGCTCCAAGCATCCACTTATACCAGCCTTTGAACGAGGTGTCATTGGAGGTTCACTACCTGTACTCCTAACTATTCTAGAGGCTGTGATCTGAAGATCACAGTTCAAAGCCAGCCTGGGCAGGAAAATCTGCAAGACTGTTATCTCCAATTAACCATCACAAAGCCAGAAATGGAGCAGCAGCTCCAGTAGAAGCTAACTAGCCTTGAGCACAAAAGCTTAAGGAGAGCTCCCAGCCCCTGAGTCCAAGCCCCAAGACTAGAAAATAACAATAATAATAAAATAACGCGTCATATCCATCTTTGGTAGCTAATTACATAGAAGTACTCAGTAAATACTTCATCCTGTATTTAAGTGCCCAAGTTTAGAACCTCAAAATTCCCCATGCAAATGAATGCAAAAATCTTTCAACTAGTCTTTTGTTTCTACCTTTGTCTACCTCAGCTGACAATACACAAGTAAAAGAAAATCTGACCAGGCTGTTCTCATGCTAAAAACAAAAAACAAAATCCTAACCTCCTGACAGCTTCCTTAAGATAAATAAAGCCACTCCTTAGGCCTGATGTGAAAAGCCAGCTCAGACCTCCCCCAGCCCCCTGAAGACCCTTCTCTTCTTGCAGCAGCCTCCAGCTTTGCTTACTCCAGCAGGAAGGTACAGCCTGTGCCCGACTATCCATGCCTGACTGCCTCTTCCCAGCGGCACCTGCGCCCCTTCCTCCATGTTTGTCTCACTGGCCAGCCCCATCCTGACCTTCCCACCCACCAACTTCTTCTATTGCCTATAGGTGCTGCACTGGATGTTGCCACATTGTACAGGGAGCCTCCTGAGGATAGATGTAGAATTGTGACCATCAGTTTATGTGCAAATCACCACACCAAGAATGTAGAAGGACTAAAAGAAAATTGCTAGATGAATCCATGGATGGATGAGTGGGTGGCTGGAGGAGGGGGTACAGAGGTGGGTGGATGGATGATTTATAGATGGATGAATAGATTGATGGGTGGATAATGGGTGAACCAATGGATGGATAGATAGGTGGATAGGTAGGTGAGTGGATGGATGGATAGATAATGGGTGGACCAATGGGGTGGATAAATAGGAGGATAGGTGCGTGAGTGGATGGATAGATGGATGGATGAATAGATGAATGGATGGATAATGGGTGGCCCAATGGATAGATGGATAGGTGAGTAGGTGGGTGATTGGATGGATGGATAGATGGATAAATGGGTAAGGGGTGGATGGGTGGGTGGATGGAGGAGTGGATGGATACAGAATGGATGGAGCAGGGAGGAATCTGCCTGTAATGTAATTCTGAAACTGAAAACTTTGTGACCTTTCTAGATCAAGGCTGGACCAGCAGCTAGGAATTGAGCAGCTTGCTGTCCTCAGTGAGTTCATCTCTGTTTGAGCTTGCCTTGTAGGACTCTCATTAGATGAAATTGTCCAGGCACCTGCTAGCCTTGGGTCCACATTGAGCAGATGAAGATTTTCCAACATGTCTCCTGATGAGGTTCCATATTGAGTCCTAAGGACTTCAGACGAATTAGCTCATCTGGCCTATGATGGACTCTATGGTGAAAAGTTAACTAGCTTTTCCAAGAGGTCAAGCTACAAAAAGTAGAATCTGCATGCACCCCCCGACAGCCTGACAGCAGAGCCTGGCCTCCGTATGGGTGATGTGAGCCCGGTTTTGCTGACCAGGGCCATTCTCTTCCAAAGGGGAGCCCAAGGAAAGATTCACACGCAAACAGTTCTCTCTCTCTCTCTCTCTCTCTCTCTTTCTGTCGTGGGGCTTGAACTCTGGGCCTGGGCACTGTCCTTCAGCTCTTCAGCTCAAGGCGAGCGCTCTACCACATGAGCCACAGCGCCACTTCCAGATTTCTGGTGGTTTATTGGAGAGAAGAGTCTCACAGACTTTCTTGCTTTGAATCACAATCCTCAGATCTCAGCCTCCTGAGTAGCTAGGATGACAGGCGTGAGCCACCAGCACCTGGCTACAAGCAAACATTTCTAAGTTGTTATAGTGAATGGAAATCCCTTGGTACAACTACTTAAAGATAATTTTTAAAAACATAAATTGAAAATAGAAAAAAAAATCAAGCAAACATTTCTGGTGGTTTGTTCTTTATTGGCCTTACTTAAATCCCCTTGTTGTTAGCAAATGATACAGATATAGTCAGGATGAGCCCCCATCTTATTTCTCATCCATGTATGTTTATACTTAGCCATCAAGATTACAAATTATTTCACACTCAGATGTGAGAACTTAGTAAGAGACCTGTACTGTGGCCAAGCTTTGCTTTTCGTGAGCTGTCTGAATTTCCTCAAGGGCTGAAAACCACAGTAGTGTTCCTCTTTACTTTCGCAATGCGAGTGTGACATTTGTCACTCAGCTTCTGAGCAACATCAGTGACACATTGGGAAAGGTCGGTGGTGGTCCCCATGGCGCAGGTCCAATGTGTGACGTCGCTCCTCCTCTTTCTGAGTAAGTTCCATAACTGCATCCTTCTACATATTCTCTCTGTTTATATATATATATATATATATATATACATATATATATTATATGTCTATATCTGTACATTGTCTACTGGAGGTTGCTGGGCAGTGGAATGGGACCACCCACTTCTGGTGTTGTTAATCATTTTTGATTTATGATGACAGTGCTTGGATTCCCTGGACATCTGGGTTCTGGGCTGGGGGGGGTGGTGTAGCGGGGAAGGAGGGGGTCTCCTCGCCAGTCAGGGAGGGGAAGCCCTTACGTTTGTCTGATGTTGAGGTTTGCCTGGGTAGATTTGCCTTTGGGTGTGGCTGGGTGGAAGAAAGTTTATAAGGGCACTTACTACTTGAGGCTATGACAAAAGAAGGTTCTGGTCTTCCTCTGTGAGTTAATGTGAAAAAAATAGCTGGGCACTGATGGCTCACACCTATAATCCTAGCTACTCAGGAGGCTGAGATCTGAGGATCATGGCTCAAAGCCAGCCCAAGCAGGCAAGCATGTAAGACTCTTATCTCCAACAAACCAGCAGAAAACTGGAAGTGGTGCTGTGGCTCAAGTGGTAGAGCACTTGCCTTGAGATGTCTTAAGAGCTCTGGGCCAGCGCCCAGGCCCAGAGTTCAAGCCCCACAACTGACACAAAAAAAGGGAGGGGCAGAAAATGTGGCTAAATGGTAGCATTTCAGCAGGAAAAAAAATTAATAAAAATAAGCTCAGCCTTTCCCAGAAAGCACAGAGCCCATGTTTATTTATTATGATTCATGTTCTGTGTTTCAGAAAGAAGAGAGACAGTGGTGCCACGCAGGGTGGGCCAAAGCTTTCTCTAGGTCAGGGCCTGGGGGGCAGGGAGGACAGGGTTGAAAGGCATCAGAGGCTCTGAAGGGGAGCCAGGCCGGACACGAAGTCGAGTAGAATTCATAAGCAGGCAGAGCATCGGCTGAATTCTGAGACTCCCCCGGGACAAAGGGGCAAGGAAAGCTCAGTGGGAGGAGAGGTGAAGGACAGGAAAGTGGCATCGCAGAGACCAGGAAAAGGCCAGCCATGGGGATTCTGGATGAAATGGAAACTATCCTAAGGGATAGAAGGAAGCCTATGGGGGGGAAAGAGTAAAAACCGCAAATAGTCAGCTAAAAATTTGATATGTATAAAATTTGATATGTATATGCCCAGTATAAAAATAGTAAACCAGTAAACCTCCAACCCGTCAACTAACCACACACATTTCCTGTAAAGATTTAAAATACAGTTTGCAGATGGTGACGCATGCCTGTTATCCTAATACACAGGAGGCTGAGATGGGAGAATCAAGATTCAAAGCCACCTTGGGCAGGAAAGTTTGTGAGACTCTTATCTCCACTTACCCACAAAAAGGCATAAGCAAAGCTGTAGCTTACGTGGTGTGGTAGAACACTAGCCTTGAACAGAAAAGCCAAGGGAAGAGTGAGGCCCTGAGTTCAAACCCAGTATTGCACACATATAAAAACATTATTCATACATTTCAAATAAAGTATATATTCATATCATGCTTTTTTTTGGATGGTCATGGGGGCTTGAACTCTGGGGTTTTGGGTGCTGTCCTTCAGCTCTTCAGCTCAAGGCAAGCGCTCTATCGCTTGAGCTACAATGCCACTTCCAGATTTCTAGTGGTTTATTAGAGATAAGAGCTTCACAGACTTTCCTGCCCAGGCTGGCTTTGAACCATGATCCTCAGATCTCAGCCCCCTCAGTAGGTAGGATTACAGGCGTGAGCCACCGGCGCCCAGCTAATATCATGCTTTTTTGTAGTGAATATCCAGAAATGGGAGTTAGAACACCTTAGAAAAGTTTAAGTTGTTACTTACCAAAAGGTTATGGCACACAGGAAGTTTAGAACATTTTCAGCCACCCTCTTAGAGAACGGTGTGAATACTGCACTAGGCCACATGGAAGAGCAAATTACTGTCTGTCTGCAGTATAAGGGGTCCGTTGTAGCGTATCCAGGTTGTGGAATATTATATAGAAAAGAAAAGAAAAACAAATTACAGTTATTTGCAGTAACACAGATGGCTATGTTCCATCAATGAGGCAAGACACTTCTGAATCTTTCTATATACAGAAAGATTCTACTGTTTATAAAACTTAAAACAAGCGACTGCCCCCACGTTGTATTGTTTGGTGATGCAGAATTGTTAAGGTGAGGGCTGGGAAGGTGGCTCAGTGGTAGAGCGCTTGCCTTGCATGCATGAGGCCCTGGGTTCGATTCCTTAGCACCACATAAGCAAAAAGAAAAAAGTCGAAAGTGGCGCTGTGACTCAAGTGGTAGAGCGCTGGCCTTGAGCTGAAGAGTTGAGGGACAGCGCCAAGGCCCAGAGTTCAGGCTCCACAACCGGACCCCCCCAAAAAAAAGAAGAAGAGGAGGAGGAGCAGCAGTTGAGTGGGAAGAGACTGTGATCTGATGGACATCCAACTGGACGGGGCCTGACAACATTCTGCTTCCTGACCTGAGTAGTGATTACTTGGGTGTACTCGCGCACGTGTGTGTGTGTGTGTGTGTGTGTGTGTGTGTGTGTGTGTGTGTGTATGTCTGCTGATACCAGAGCTTGAATTTGCTTAGCTTTTTCAAGGCTGGCACTCTACCACATTAGCCACACCTCCACTTCCAGCTTCTGGTGTTTTTCACGGGGGATAAGAGTCTCATAGACTTTCCTTTCTGGGTTGGCTTTGAACTGTAATCCTCAGATCTCAGCTTCTGGAGTCGCTAGGATCCCAGGGATCTCCATCAGCTCCTGGCTAAACCTTGGAGAGTCTTACCAGATTTATGACAGAACCATGAACTCCTGGAGCCCCTCACGGCTGCTCTGCCTGCAGGAGCTGCTGTACCCTTGCGTTAGTCAGTGCTAATAACCTGCCACCTCATTTAACCCCCTTGTGGTCTAGAGAGCTGAGGTGGAAGGCAGCACTGACTGGTCTTCATTCCCTGTCTCCATCCTCCTTCCAGCAGGGCTCAGCGCCAGCCAGAGGGAGGTGAGGATCCAGGCTGGGCCGCTGTTCCGGGCTGCAGGCTACCCCACCAGCATCAGCTGCAATGTCTCCGGCTACCAGGGGCCCTCAGAGCAGCACTTCCGCTGGTCGGTTTACCTGCCCCAGGCCCCGTCCAGGGAAGTCCAGATCGTAAGCACACAGGACGCCAGCTTCCCGTATGCGGTGTACGCGCGGCGGGTGAGCAGCAAGGGCATCTACGTGGAGAGAATGCTGGGTAACTCGGTCCTGCTGCACATCACCCAGCTGCAGATGCTGGATACCGGCGAGTACGAGTGCCACACCCCCAGCACCGATGACAAGTACTTTGGAAGTTATAGTGCCAAAACCAACCTGACTGGTGAGCCCTGCAGGCTGGCTCCATCACTCTGATTGCTTTGGGGAATAGAAGGGGCTGCCTACTCTTCAGGGTATTCTGGGAAAGTGTTAAGAGTGTGTGTGTGTGTGTGTGTGTGTGTGTGTTATCAGTCATTGAGTGCAAGTGTGTGTGAGTGTGTGTGTGTGTGTGTGTGTGTGTGTGTGTGTCCGTGTCCTGGAGCTTGAACTCAGGGCCTGGGCATTGCCCTAGAACTTTTTCATATAAGCCTGGTGCTCTACCACTTGAGCCATAGCTCCACTTTCAGCATTTTGCTGGTTAAATGGAAATAAGAGTCTCCTGATGTGTTCTGCCTCAGGCTCACTTCAAACCCCGAGTCAGATCTCAGCCTCCTGTGTAGTAGCTGGGATTACAGGCATGAGCTATCCTGTCTAGCATCGTCACAGAAATGTCTTGAGGAAGCAGGAAAATGCATTCAGATAGAGACAGATTCTAGTCAAAATCCATCCTGGCAGCTTGCTTCCTGCGCTTGTCTTCACTGGGCACTCCATGTCTGAGCCTCCCCATTGAAGCTAGCCTTGTTAGTGAAGCAGAGCCAGGGCTCTGGAGCTGTGGCTCAAGTGGTAGAGCTTTAGCCTTGAACAAAAAAGTTCAATGGGGAAAGAACATGGCTGGTAGAAAACCAGCTCAAAGGCTATGCTACTGATGGGCTGGGCGTGCCATCTTTGTTTAAGGAGATGTTAAGCTAATGATAAGGAGTAAGGGAACTCATTTGTCAAGTATGGGCCAGCACCTGACTTCCTCTGTTTCCAGTGATCCCAGATACCCTGTCTGTCACCTTGAATTCCCAGACGCTCCATCAGGAGGAAGGGGAAGCCCTGGAACTCACTTGCCAGGTGTCCACAGCTACCGCGCAGCACACCCACCTCTCTGTCACGTGGTACCTGATGCAGAAAGGAGAAGGAGGCCAAGCTACCACGATTATTTCTCTCTCCAAAGATTTTCTGTTGATCCCCGGGCCCTCCTATGCAGAGAGGTTTGCATCAGGGGACGTGTGCTTGGACAAGCTGGGGGAAACGACCTTCAGGCTGTCTATCCGCAGGCTGCAGCCTACAGATCAAGGTCAGCTGTTCTGTGAAGCCACAGAATGGATTCAAGATCCAGATAAAAGCTGGACTTGGATCACGAGGAAGCAGACACAGCAAACAACGCTGACCGTCCAGCCAGCAGGTGATGATCTTCTTGGAAAATGAACAAATTCACTGAGAGTATTTATGGATTATCTTTATCTATTTATAAATACAGGGGCTTGAACTTAGGGCCTGGGTGCTGTCCCTTAGCTTTTTGCTCAAGGTTGGTGCTCTACCACCTATGCCACATTTCCACTTCTGGTTTTTTACTGATTAAATGGAGATAAGAGTCTCTTGGGTTTGTTTACCTGAGCTGGCTTTGAACTGAGATCCTCAAATCTCAGCTTCCTGAGTAGCTAGGATTACAGGCATGAGACACCAGTATTCAACTACTTTTTTAAAAAAAATCTCTTTTAAAATCTTTAGTTGACTTGATAAAAAATAAACTGAGCTAAATATCTGAGTCAATGTTGACACTTACACCAAAAGAAGGCAGAAAGAGCCAGGCACCAGTGGCTCATGCCTGTAATCCTGGCTACTCAGGAGCCTGAGATCTGAGAATCTCAGTTTGAAGCCAGCCCATGCAAGAAAGTTCGTGAGAGTCTTATCTCCAATGAACCACCAAAATCCAGAAGTGGAGCTGTGGCTCAAGTGGTAGGGTCCTAGCTTTAAGCATAAAAACTCAGGAACAGTACCCAGACCCTGAGTTCAAGCCCTAGGACTGGCTCACACACACACACACATACACACACACACACACAAAAGTAGGCAGAGAGGCATCATCTGTAACTTCTGATCTCTCTACATAGGCATTGGTCCAACCAGGAGGAAGAGGCTATAAACCATATGTAACCGTTATGACTGGGTGATAGAACGTGGAGGTTTGGGTTTTTTGCTGCTGTTGTTATTGTTTTGTTTTCTTTAGAAGTTTGTTAGTCTGTTTCCTTAAACGAGTGTCTGCTTCAAGCATCCAAGTGACACACGGCAATCCTGCGAAGCTGTATCGCATCTGCGTTCTGCTTAGGAAAAACTCCTCTGGTTATTCTCAGACAGAAAAGCGAATAAGCAACGAGGGCTGGCTGGGGCTGGGGCTCTGGCAGAAACACGAGCTCAGCACACGGGAGGCCCTGGGTTCAAGCCCAGCCCCAGAGTCACACAAAGGCAGCGAGCAAGAAATCATGGTTTACAGCCACTCAGAAAAGCGTCGGTTATTTTGTGTGTTAAGAAAGAGTAGCTAAGGGTGCACGTTATGTGTCTGCACATACCTCTTCCTTACTAGGACTGCTTTAAGAAAGCCACCCGTGCTGTCCTTTCTGGGAGAGTTCAGGAACAGCCCGTTGTGGGTTTCATTTAGTCAGGATTTGGGGGTTGGGGGGGCGTAGGGAGGTTACACCACTACAGAATTGCCACATACAATCTGCAGTCTGTGCACCCTGCACTTGGGGGAGGGTGTCTCTGGTACGGAAAAGCCAGATGCACTGAGCTTGTTTTGTTTTTGTCACCAGCGACGGAGTTCACCGTCAGTGTCACCACCGATGGCCCTGTTGCCGAGGGCCAGCCCTTGCACCTGGTTTGCCTGGTGCTGGGCAGTGCCCAGGCCCCGCAGCTCCAGGGCTTCTGGATCCACAATGGGGTGGAGATTGCGCAGATCGACGCTGATGGAGTCGTGGGCTTGAAGAAGGAGTATGAGGACAGAGCGAGGCAAGGACAGCTCCAGGTTTCAAAGCCAAGCCCCAAGTCTTTCTCCCTGAGGATCTTCTCTGCAGGCCCCGAGGATGCAGGCACCTATAGCTGCACTGTGGCGGAGGTGACCAGGACCCCCGAGGGCTCCTGGCACGAGCTGCAGAGAAAGCGATCGCCAGCCAGCCAGGTTCACCCAAGGAGGCCTGCAGGTCAGAGAAGCCAGGGCTGGGTGTGGATCTGATCCTCTAGCAGGTCAGGAAGGGATCTTCCTTCCAGAGAGCTCTGGATCACACTGCAGGGGCGAGAGGGGGCGGGCAGGTCTTCCTTCACAGTCAGGGGCAGGGGAGGTCAGGAAAGTGCCAGGATGGACCAGAGCCCTCAGGAGCCCCATTTCTGACTCATGGACACACCCTCACTTCTTTCTTCCTTCCTTCCTTCCTTTCTTTCTTTCTTTCATCCTTTCTCTCTCTCTCTCTCTCTCTCTCTCTCTCTCTCGTTCTTTCTTTTTTCTTTTTTTGCCAGTCTTGGGGCTGGAACTCAGGGCCTGGGTACGGTCCCTGAGTATCTTTTTGCTCAAGGCTAGCGCTCCACCCCTTGAACCACAGCACCACTTCTGGCTTTTTCTGTGTATGTGGTACTGAGGAATCGAACCCAGGGCTTCATGCATGTTAGGCCGGCACTCCACCCCTGAGCCACCTTCCCAGCCCCAACCCCCACTCCTCTAAGCCCCAGCTTCCTCATCTTCAACAAGAAGGCTCTCGGGTAGCTCATCCTTCTTGCTGCCTTAGATTCCTTGCGGGCCCCAGTTCCTGGCAGAGTGAGACGCACGGTTCAGAGCATCTCTGCAGGAAGCAGCAACGCCGCTGCTGTGGTTTGGAGAAAGTTTGACCTCCAAAGGCTCCTGGGCTGTGAGTTTGGTCCCCAGTGGTGATGTTGAGGCTTAGGTCCCTCTCCTGCAGTGATGGCATTTGTGCCATTCTGGGAGAGTGGTCTGTCACAAAGTGAGCCCACCCCGGGGCCCAACCTTGCTTCTTCTGCTTCCCTTTCTTCTTCCTCGCCATGTTCTCACGTAGCCAGGACACTAGCACCATGCTGCTGGGACCCTGTGACCAGCGGAATTATGAGGCCAGTAGACCTCTTTACTTTAGAAGATATCCAGCCTCAGGAACTCTATTATTGCAACACACAACTAAAATAAGCTGTTCAGCTCACTTTCACTTTACACAGGTTGAGACACCTTACACATGTTTGACTAATCAGTGTTTTTTTGTTGTTGTTTTGTTTTGTTTTTGGTCAGGGGTTGGAACTCAGGGCCTGGGCACTATCCCTGACCCTTTTGCTTAAGGCTAGCACTCTACCACTTTGAGCTACAGTACCACTTCTGGTTTTCTGGTGGTTAATTGGCGATAAGAGTCTCAGGGACTTTCCTGCCCACACTGGCTTTGAACCATAGTCCTCACACCTCAGCCTCCTGAGTAGCTAAGATTACCGGCATGAGCCACCAGTACCTGGCTCAATCAGTGCTTTCTGGGTAGAGTGAAGACAGACGACTCCACAGCTAATAGTAGAATTCTCTGAGTGTTAAATTCAAAGTCTAGGAAGAATAAATGCCCAAAGCGGGGGAAAAAATCCCACAAAGAAAAAAATTTAATTAAGGGGGAAAAAAAACGGAGCTAGAATTAAAAATACTTCATTGCACTTGCTCATTAGAGGCATCTCCAAAGAGACGATTTTCTCTTTCATGTTTTTCTCTGTCTCCCCACTGGCTAGAGATGATGATCCGAGCTTTGGCCTAGAGTAGCAAGCCAGGAAGTTGTGTTGGTGTTAGTTTTCACATTTGGTCTAACGCTCTAGATTCAGGAAAGACAATGTAGGCAGTTGACATATTTTCCCAGAGCTTAGTCTCTGCTTTGTGCATCTGAACCCCTGTGGAAAATACCTGCAACCTTTTTTCACCCTGGTATGAGGGAATCTGTGCCAAAGAGATCCTCAAAAGTGTGCCTCCCTGGATGCAGCTCCTAATCCTCTTGGACAGATAGCTTCCAAGACTCAAAATAATTCCTTTGCACAGGCTGGAGTCCAAACTGGGCTTAAAAGGTAGCAATAGGAAAACGTATTAGCATATTTATTAAGGACCTTGTTTAACATTCTGTTTTGAAAGTCAAACCATGGTTTCAAGTTTGAGCAGATTTTATCACTCTATGAATATTTAAATGAAGGGGAGCCCACTCTCACTGGGAGTGCAGAAAGTGCACACAGTGTGACTTTATTACTTACTGGGGGCAGTAATAAATGTAATGAATGTTGTTTTTTTTAATTCCTAAATGATCCTAGGTGAAACTAACTATAATGGTTATGCTAAAGTGATGAAATTACGAGTGATAATTTCCTCTCTAATTCTTAAATTTCACTTATGAGTCATTTTTATATTAAAAAAATTTTGAAGCATAATCATCAACCCCAATGTGGAAGCAGTCTTAGGAGCTGTTTTTGACCTACTTATGGAAAGTACTTTATTTTTTCCTTTGTAGTTTGTGTGTGTGTGTGTGTGTGTGTGTGTGTGTGTGTGTGTGTGTGTAAAACAGTCTAAGACTGAAGTCTTTCCCCAGCAGGGAAAAGCAATTTGTAGGTTCATTTAGCACTCTTTAGATTTCTAACACTAATTCTATTTTGCTTTTCTCCTTGGCGTTGAGCTACCTCTGCCTCTTAACACAAGAGCTACTAGCTGACCTTCCCTGAGAGCTCTCTAGAGTCAGCCAGCTGTCTCAGCCTTTGTATGGACCCTTTGTTCAGTCTCCTCAACAATGCAATAATGTGGGTGCTATTATTACCAGTGTTTTTATGGGAAAGAAAACGAAGGCTTCGAGAGGTCAAGTGTGTTTCCCAGGGTAATTCTGGCTCCAGGGTCTTGACCGCACACTCACAGCTGAAATGCCTAGGATGGGGGCACTTGATCTCTCTCTCTCTCTCTCTCTCTCTCTCTCTCTGCATCACCCACAGAGCAACCAGGACCAGACTTTGCACAATAAGCATTTGTTTGGTGAATGTCTGCATTTCTTTCTACATATCTTGGATTTCCCATCTGGGAGCCAGCATCACTGTTATAATTTTACACTGTAATTTAGACATAAGAAGGCTCTCTTCTTTACCAATTAGATAGATGATTAGTAGATAGGCAGATGATGGACAGATAGATGAGCAGATATATATATATATATATATAGACATAATATACACAAATTATAGCTCCATAGTAATTATTTTTATGGAGATATTGTCAACAGACATCTAACTATTCTATTTCCCTGTTTAAAACACTTACTAACCTAATTAGGACTGAATAAGAGAAAAATTGAAGGAGGAAGCTCATACTGAACTCTGAAAACCTAAATTCTAAAAAGCTAGAAGCTTAAATTAGCATAGTATCCTGACTTCTAGGTTCATACACCCTCCTAATTAAATACTACTAGGTATTCATCCAACTAAATATTATTCCTCAGAATGGACTGATTAAACAAATTGGTTTAAAAAAACTAACTTGCAGCTAGGCATGCTGCTTCATGCCTGTAATTCTAGCTAATCAAGAAGTTGAGATCGGAGGATCACAGCTCAAAGCCAGTCCAAACAGGAGTCCGTGAGACTGTTTTTTTTTTTTTTTGCCAGTCCTGGGGCTTGAACTCAGGGCCTGGGCACTGACCCTGAGCTTCTTTTGTTCAAGGCTAGTGCTCTACTACTTGAGCCACAGATCCACTTCTGGCTTTTTCTGTGTGTGTGGTGCTAAGGAATGGAACCCAGGCTTCATGCATGCAAGGCAAGAACTCCACCACTAAGCCAACTTCCCAGCCCTCCGTGAGACTTTTATCTGCAATTAACAAGTAAAAAAGATGGAAGTGGTAGAGCATCAGCATTGAGCGAAAAAACTAAACAAGAGTGTGAGGCCCTGAGTTCGAGTCCCAGTCCAGGCCCCCCTCGCACACCCCTAATCTAAGTGAAAATTCCAAGTGCATTCTTGTTTGTTTGTTTCTGTTGGCCACAGGGTTTGAACTCAGGGCCTGGGCACCAACTCTTCAGCTCAAGGCTAGTGCTCTAACACTTGAGCCACAGCACCACTTCTGGTTTTCTGGTGGTTCATTGGCGATAAGAGTCTCATGGACTTTCCTGACTGGGCTGGCTTTGAACCATGATATTCAGATCTCAGCCTCCTGAGTAGCTAGGATGACAGGCATGAGCCACCGGTGCCCAGCTTTCTTGTTGTTGTTGTTTGTTTGTTTGCCAAATGCATTCTTGTACTTTGCAGATCTTGTTTTCTTGGGTAGCACAGAAGGAAACAGCTTGATCTGATTTGTCCGAATGAGATGAGTCATCACTAATAAGATTTCCCTGTATTGTAGGAAGTTTTCCACTTATTCAAAGTACTCTTTTCCTCTGTAACTCACAGCCAGAAGTGTGGTCGTGTTGGCCGAGGAGCAAGCTGTGTGGGAAGGAGAGACACTCACTCTCGTCTGCAAGGCCGGTGGGGCCCCAAGTCCTCTGTGGGTGAGCTGGTGGCACATCCCACAGGACCAGCCCCAGCCCCGGCTTGTAGCTGGCATGGAGCCGGATGGCAGCGTGCAGTTGGGCGCCTCTCCAGGGAGCCCTCATTACCATGGCAACATGAGATTGAAGAAAGTGGATTGGGCCACCTTCTGGCTAGAGATTCCCTCGACCACAGTCACAGACAGCGGAACCTACGAGTGCAAAGTATCTGAGAGGCTCCGGCACACAGCCCCTGACCAGCCCTGGATGCGCAACATTTCTGTCACTGTAAAATCTCTGAGTAAGTGCAGGGCAATCCTCTTTGGAACTTGGACATCAGTCATTTTATTCTACAGGGCAGTTTGAGTGTCTGTCACCCTGAATCTCCAGCAGTGGTGTGTGTACTCCAGCAGAGTCTAGCTATTGGCTCTGCCAGTTAACCCTGAAATTGTCTATAGAAGATCCACCTTAGGCCAGGTGCTAGTGCCTCATGTCTGGAATCTTAGCTACTTGGGAGGCTGAGACCTGAGAACTGTGGTTCAAAGGCAGCCCAGGGCAACAAATCCATGAGAGTCTCATCTTCAGTTAACCACCCAAAAGCCAGAAGTGGAGGTGTGGCACAAGTGATAGAGTGCTAACCAAGTGAAAGCACAAAGCTCAAAGTTTGAGCCCCAATACTCATGCACACGCAAATCTCTTATGATCATCTTTAGAGTGGAACTTGTCATTCAAGGATAAAAACTAAATCCTATGAACCAGAGTTGACTTCTAGAGAAGACAGCCAAGCCTTTTGCATTCTGTCAGCTGACCCTGCAGCTCAGCCCTGCAGGGCTTGGGCACGAGAGTCTGACACTGAGCCCAGAGTGGGGGCGGGAAGGGAGGAAGGAAGGCAGGAAGGAAGGAGGCCAGACCACAGCGCCCAGTCTCCACCCACTCCACAGCAGCTGTCTTGGCCGCGCGCTGGAGAAACACTGTGTATTTGTTAGCTATGCTGAGAACAGTGGTGCATGATGAGGGGGTCAACTTGGGAGCACAGGGGTCAAAATTCAGGCCAGACTCTCCTGGGAATGGACCATGCAGACCTAGCAGTCCCGGGACACGGTCCCACACCGTGGCAAGGGCCCACGCTCGCGGTGGCACGTTGATGTGGGTAGACACATTCAGAACTGTGTCTCATTTTTTTTTCCATCTGCAGAATTGAGCTTACAAGTGCACCTGATGAGCCGCCGGCCCCACGTGACGCTAGCCAACACCTTCACCCTGTCCTGTGTAGTGGCTGCCAACTTCTCTGCCCTCAAGCTGCCCCTGTCTGTGGTGTGGCGGTTCCAGCCGGCAGGGTCTCAATCCTTCCATCAGTTGGTTCACATGGCCCATGATGGCTCTGTCGAATGGGGGACTCTCCTGCCTCAGTTCCATGAGAGGACCAAGGTCTCCCGCACGGGGCTGAGGTCTCAGCTCCTAATCCACGAGGCCACTGAGGAAGACACGGGAATGTATCGGTGCGAGGTGGACGTCTACGACAGAAATGCCCAGTCTTCTCCCAGGGCTTCCGCCTCCTCTCACCCATTAAGAATAGTTGTTTCCTTACCTGGTAAGACCCACTTGGAATTAATCTCAGCTTGGGGGGGGGGAAGATCCTATCTTGCCACGTGCTGTGGCCCATGCCTATAATCCAAGCACTTGGGAGGCTGAGGCAGAAGGATTGCAAGTTCTAGGCTAGCCTAGGTCACACAGTAAGACCATGTCTGAAAGCAAATTCTTCTTGCCGGGCACCAGTGGCTCACGTCTGTAATCCTAGCTACTCAGGTGGCTGAGATCTGAGGATCACAGTTCAAAGTCATCCCGGACAGGAAAGTTCATGAGACTCTTATCTCCAATAAACCACAAGAAAACCGGAAGTGGCACTGTGGCTCAAGTGGTAGAGCGCTTGCCTTGAGCTGAAGAGTGCAGGGACAGCGCCCAGGCCCAGAGTTCAAGCCCCACAACCGACCAAAAAAAAAATTCTTTTCACCTTGGGTATGTTATAGAAATAAGCATAAAGTACCCCTCCCCTTGGTACATCAGCACTCTGCAGTGAATTTCATACAGGCCAACATTAAGTTACTATGAGCAGAAGGACCATACTGTTGTGAAAACATTGACGAGCTAGCTGAGCACTGGCAGCTCACACTTATAATCCTAGTTCCCCAGGAGGCTGAGCTCTGAGGATCATAGTTCAAAGTCAGCCCAGGCAGGAAAGTGCATGAACCAATAAAAGGCTGAAAGTGGAGGTATGGCTCAAGTGGTAGAGTGCCAGCCTGAGCAAAAAAAGCCAAGCAAGAGGCTGAGGCTGTGAGTTCAAGTGCCAGTATTGGTTCAAAGAAATCAAACACTTTCCATGCCAGCTAGTCTCCACTGCTCTGTGCTATTTCTTCCTTTGCGCATGAGCCTCACTAGGGCACTGCCTGGCAGAGCAGTGCACTTCCGGGCACAGCTGAGCCATCTCCAGTGCAAAGACAAGCTTACAAGTAAAGTAGGTCACTTACACACCTATCTGGAGTGGCATCAATAATGGCAATTCTGTTAGAATACACCTGTCTACACCTCTGTACTGTGTTCACGTCTAAGTCAGTGAATTCAGGACTATGGTGAAATGTCATGTGTCTCACCAATGGGAAACAGAACAGAGCGGTTCGAGGTAAACACCACCCTATGTGAGGTTGTGCAGTGTCTTGTCTCTCTTAACTTGCATTCTCTTGGGAGAATGTTTGCCAAACTGAATTCCTTCTCATGGGCCAGCCTCGGATAGCAGTATGTTTTTAGACAAGTCGCTTCATCTGAGACCTCTTCTGTAAATTGCCGATTTGTTTGCAACTTCAATGTGTTAACTATTCAGCGCGCCTCACACAGTACCCAATACATAGCTCAGTGTGATCGCTGCCCAGTCTCTGTGCTGTTCAGCTATGTTTGTAGTAATAGCAATAATCTCCTTGTTTATTAATTAATTAATTCATTCATTTATGAGTTTTGAACTCAGGGTCTGAGTATTGTTCCTGAGCTTTTGTATTCAAGGCTAGCACTCCACCACGTGAGCCACAGTTCTACTTCCAGCTTTTCTGGAAGTAGAAGTAATTGAGGATAAGAGTCTCATAAACTTTCCTGCCCGGTCTGGCTTTGAATGAATGCCTTTGTGTACTTGTCCTTTCTGTGGTATTTAAAATGGCTGCCCTGAGTCTTAGCTTTCTTTGCTCCATAACACCGGCCACCTCTTTTTAAAAACCTAACAACCAGGTTTTGTTTGTTTGTTTTTGCTTTTTGTCATGGGGCTTGAACTGGGCCTGGGCGCTGTCTCTCAGCTCTTCAGCTCAAGGTACGTGCTCTACCACTTGAGCCACAGTGCCACTTCCGGTTTTCTGGTGGTTTATTGGAGATAGGAGTCTCCTGGTCTTTCCTGCCCAGGCTGGCTTTGAACCGTGATCCTCAGATCTCAGCCTCCTGAGTAGCTAGGATTACAGGCGTGAGCCACCAGCGCCCGGCAACACCAGGTTTTAAAATTCCTTTCCTAACATTGACTGCTCCCTCTCATTCTTTTTTCTTTTTCTCATTTCCTTCCTAAAACCTGGACTCGAACTCGGTTTCTAATGCTTTCACTTATTGGCTGGTACTCTACCGCCTGATCCATGCCTCCAACCCTTCTGATTCTTTTCAGAAGCCCCTCTCTCATGGATCTATTCTTTTCTTGAGGGTTTTGTTTTTGCCAGTCCTGGGTCTTGAACTCAGGGTCTGGGCTCTGTCTCTGAGCCTTTCTATGCTCAAGGTTAGAGCTCTACTACTTGAGCCACAGCACTACTTCTGGCTTTTTCTGTGTATGTGGTGCTGAAGAATTGAACCCAGGGCTTCATGCATGCTAGGCAATCACTCTATCCCTGAGCCACCTTCCCAGCCCTCTTGTGGGTTTAAAATTAGATTTTGGTTTATTGACATGGGATCTCATTATGCAGCTCAAGTTGGCCTTGTGATACTACTCTCCCAATGTCCTCGTGTTGGAATTACAGGCAGGTGCTGACACACCGGGCGTTGATTCCTGCTTTAAAAGTTCCTTTGAATTCACCCTCAACTCCCTCTCTTCTGGTTGTACACAGACAGTCTCCTGAGGTCGAATGTGGCAACTGCCGCCTTCACCTTGCAGAAAGAGTTCTCTTCTGAGCTCCAGGTTCATCTACACCCACCTCTAAGACATGTCTCTACTCCTGGTGTCAGAGCACACACTCACTGCTGCGATCTAAAGCTAGTCCTCTCCGATTGTCCCCAACATCACCTACCCATGCCCCACGTTAGGAACTCCTCTCTTCACCTCCTGTCCAAGCTCCTGCAGCAGGGCGTGCAAGGGTGTTTTGTTTTTTAAATAATATGGTGCATCGATGTCTTTGCAGCATCCCTCCCTTCGCTCTCTAGCCTTGATCTGAGCTGCAGCCACCCCACGATCACGTTGAGTTCCTCAGTAATCCATGGTCTCTCTCTCTCACCTTCAGAGTTGTTCAGGTTGCTCCTTTTCTGTGAAATTCTGTAAGCCCATCCTTCATCAAAATCATTGTTATGAACTCTTGCGGCAGCTCAGAGTTGCCTCCTCCAGGAAGTCTCTCCTTGCTCCTGTATTTGGGCTACGCAGCCCTTTGAGTGCTCTGGTAAAACTTTTGTACCTGTCCCATGCCAGCGGCATGGTGGATGTAATCTGTCCATCTCTGTCCCCACACCTCGGGCCCCTCTCACCGGGGCTGGGAGAGGCTGGCCTGTGCAACGGTGTGTGCTCAATAAACGTTAGTGGAAGGCAGACTACAGGCTCCCAATGGCAACACTGAGAAGCTGCTTGAAAGTGTAGTCGGCGATGCCAGCAGGGAGGCAGAGGGAGATTTAGAAGCGAGATTTATTGGCTCCATTGTGCCTCTTTCTGACCCAGCAGCAAAGCCACTGGGGCTAAATGACAGTTGACTCCCGGTCCTTCTGACCTCCCCACAGAGGACTGGCTACAGGGACGCCATTCTAATCAGCCCACACACAATTTCCTTTTGTTTGCTCGTGTTTGAAAATGCTTCCAACGAGACGTTGATCAATGGCGAATGCAGAAGTGCCCTGGATATTGAGCATGCAGACAGAGCATTAATAGTGTCACTTTTCCCTTGGTGTGGTACACGAGAGTCTCCAGAAGAGCGGCCTGTCGCCTAGATGCTGTAGAATGTTTGTGTGGGAGAGATAGGATGTGTTCCTTTCTGGTTGAGGGGCCGAGGGAGAGGCAGTCATGCCCTCCCTGGCTTAGGACACTCAAGATCTCTCTCACTGGCCGCTAGAGCTCTTCCATTTTCTTTCCATTCAGAGAGCAAGCTGAAAGTGAGGTCTCCTAGTCAAGCCCAAGAGATCGCCATCAGCTCCACCGCACACATCGATTGCAGCATCGAGTCCCGGTCCACCGGAAACCTTCCATTTACCATTATTTGGTACTTTTCTCCCATCTCCGCTGAGGCATCCTGGGTGAAGATTCTGGAAACAGACCAAAGCAATATCGTAATATATGGGGATTAATTTCGTACCCCACAGAGAAAGGAAAAGTTTTACATAGAAAAAGTTTCCCCTGCCTTGTTTCGGCTACACGTTGTGGGAATGGAAGACAGCGACCAGGGCAGGTACCGCTGCGAGGTGGGGGAGTGGCTCTCGTCCACAAACGGCACATGGAAGAAGCTTGGAGAACAGAAGTCCGGACTCACAGAGCTCAGACTCAGGCCCACAGGTAAGCCTTGTAAGGGGACTGTCACACGTTTTGCTGGAGGTTTGCCACCTTTCCTTGGGGAAGCAAAAAATGTGATCTGGAAATCCAAGCACCAGTGGCTCACGCCTGTCATCCTAACTAGTCAAGAGGCTAAGATCTGAGGATCGCAGTTTGAAGCCAGCCCAGGCAGGAAAGTCTGTGAGACTCTGATCTCTAACCAGCAAAAAGCTGGAAGTGGAGCTGTGGCTCAAGTAGTAGAGCATCAGCATTGAGAGGGGAAAAAAAAGCTAAGTAGGAGCATGAGGCCTTGAGTAGCAGGCCCCAGTAACAGTACAGACACAATAGTTTCAATATGTGATCTGGAGTCATAAGAATCGCGTATGCCTGCATATGTCTGCAGGCCCTGGAAGGCCACCCGAGATGGGAAAGGCACTCAGGTGAGTCAGTCTGGGGCTTATGGAGCTCAGGAGGAAGAAGATCCCTTTGACTGCTTCTCTTACCAGCTCCGCAGTCTGGTTTGTGCAGCTAGCCATGGTACGGTGTCCCTGGGCCTCTGTAATCACAAGCTGTGTCAATCCAGCGGGGCTCTGCTGTAATTTGGCCCAGGAAGAGTAATACGAAGCATATTTCTCCCACTGTGAGCAGAAACTGTACAAGTCTACAGGGACGTGTGGAGAAATTGCGTTTCCACATTTGGCTGCCTAAACATAAGGCAAGCAACAGTAGTTAACTGTTGGAATGGCTGGCTGAGGGGAAGGCCTTCTCCTCGGGAGGTCTTTAAAAATGTAATGGAAGTTCCATCCGTCCGCCCCCGGCCAAGAACGCCGCTTGCTGTGAAAGGTGAACGGCTTGATTAAGTCTCAGACTTCAGTAGGTCACCTCCACTGTCGATTAACAGAGAGTGAAAGTCACAGAGAAGGTTTGGGAACTGGGTAAGGTCCAATAGCATAATGCAAGTAATAAAACACTGCTTTCAAACAGGAGGATAACCATTGTGTGTTACTGTGTATTGGGCACAAGGACAAGTGGGGCACAGCGTTTGCTCTTAGGGAACACATCCTGTGGGGGCAGGGGCAAAGCAGCAGCTCAATACAAGGACCTCCTCCTCCTCCCCTTCCTCCTCCTCCTCCTTTTCCTCCTCGGTTTTCTTCAGTGTTCTCTCCCTGTTAAACATGGATGTGTCTCAAGGACAAATCCTGGACCCTTTTGCTTCCTTTTTCTTTGCTTTCCTCAGAACTTCTAAAATGCTCCCCAGGCTCTGATTGCTGCTATCAGGATGACAACTCTGTCTTTCTGTTGGTATCTCCCAAGCCCTAAGCCTCAAGATCCATCTGCTGGCTACATATTTCTACTTGGATGCCCCCGGGACCCCTACCCTTACCCTGTCCTAAATCACATTTATCCCCTGTGCCAACCCTCCAGACCCGCTCACATTCCTGCATCTGCGTGTTTGGCATCCTGTCTCTCAGCTGTCCCAGCCAAAATCCTACAGTGTGTGAGGAACCCTCTGAAGGAGGAGGGCGGCCACTTCCTGGCTTCCAGGTAGAAATGTGGACTCCATGCTGTCAGATCTTTGAATACATCCAGAAATGCTGGTTTGTCTTTTGTTAATGACTGCAGTAGTTAATCTTGATGGGCAGTTTGGTTGGTTGGGAAACACTGAAGAGATTCATAAAGGACATTTCTGCATCTTTTCTGGGGAAAAGATCTGCCCTGAATTGAGTGGCATCATCCAACAGGCTAGAGGCCCAAGGAAATGCAGCTCTCTCTCTCTCTCTCTCCTCTCTCTCTCTCTCATTTCTCCTCCCCTCCTCCCATCCTGGTTTCCAAGAGATTGCAGCCTCTGCCACACACTCCATCGGCCATGATATTCTGCCTTGCTTCCGGTCTAAACCATGAGACAGAAACTTCTTCTGAGACCATGAAACAAAATCGATCTTTCCTTCTTTAAACTTTCTCTCCGGTATTTGCCACCACAGCAGCACCAAAGCGAATGCAGACAATTGGTACCAGAGCAGTGGGATCACTGCGGAGCCCAAGCCTGCCCAAGTGGCTCTTGAGCCTTTGAAACCAGCTTGTGGGAAGGATTTGCATGTGTGGCAAAGCAGACTAGTGAAGTCCAAGAATGCCGCAGGCGGAGCTTAACAGTGGCTTCAGTGAGAGCTCAGAAGACCAGAATCCTGACAGGAATGCAGACTGTGTGCATGAGATTTCAGATGAGAACAAGGGCTCTGTTGGGCTACAGGCCATGTAGCTTACATTCTGGCAAACTAATTGGTCTACATTTTGTCCATGCCCTGAGGCTTCGAGTGAGGCTTCATTTCAGATGAATAATTAGTCCAAGAAAGGAACTGTCAAGACAGTGAACGAAGGATTCCGTCTGTGACGTGGTTTTTGGGGCATGGTTGTTGAGGCCACTCTTTACCAGATTTACAGTGAGAACTGGGAACAAAAATCAAAGCAGAAAGATAAAAAGCCTGCAGTCTGTCCAATCTGTCTAGTAAAGTTGGTGACAGGGAAGTATCAAAGATATTAGAGCCAGGCCCTGGTGGCTCATACCTGTCATCCTAGCTACTCAAGAGGCTGAGATCTGAGGATCGTGGTTCAAAGCAAGGATGGGCAGGAAAGTCTGTGAGACTCCTATCTCCAACGAACCACGAGAAAACTGGAAATGGCACTGTGGCTTAAGTGGTAGAGCTCTTACTTCAAGCTGAAGAGCTGAGGGACAGTGCCCAGGCCCAGAGTTCAAGCCCCATGACTGACAAAAAAAAAAAAAAAAGATATTAGAAAGAGATCACCTCCATGAAGAAGAAGCCAAATCCCTAGCACCAGGAAAGAAGAAAAGGTACCATGAGGGCATCCTGGGAATTGTCTAGCCCCGCCCTTTAATAAAGACTGAAGGAGGTAAAGAGTAAGCACATTTAGAAGACGTCTCCTTGAGAAGAGCGTGGCTGGGTGCTGTTCACACAAGGCTGGGGAGGACGTGGGTTCAGTGGCGCGGATTTCACTGTGTTCAGCAGAGCAGGCTCTTGGGGTCCAGGAGTGTGGTCACCGCACGAGCTGGCAGCCTGGTGCCATCACATGATGCTGGTTTCCAGGCTTGCAGCACCATAGCGTCACAGGGTCTGAAACCATGAACCAAAATAAGTCATTGCTCCCTTGAATGGTTTTATTCGGGTTATTATGATTTTTTTCCCCAAAGCCATGAAAAACTAACCAAATAATGACATCTCTTAATGGAGAGTGTTTACCACTATTCAGGGTCTTCTGAAATATTGAGGGTGCTGAACAAACCTCACTGCAAGTTTTTGTGCAGTGGGGGTTGTCAAGATGCCCACCCCAGTTCAGGCAAGGGATAAAAGGAAAGGCTCCAGGGAAAGATGCTGAGATGGGCTGGTCAGTGCAGAATGGGGGATTCTGTGTGAGGTCAAAAGCAGAAAGAATTTTGAGAAGAAAATAGACATCAGTCACAAAACCCTGGAGAAGACACATGAACCCTGGGTTGTCTTGATATGGGCCTTGGCCAGTCGCAGCGGTGAGATCATGAGCTAGACTACAGTGAAAGCAGCATCACTGGAGGTGAGGAAGAAAACAGACGGCTTCATGTAAACTAATATTTTATAAGCTTCTCCAGGAAGGACGGGAGAGAGTAACAACAGTTCAGGATCAGACAGAGCTTATTTTTAAAATAGATGAATATAGTTGTAGTAGGGTTGAAAATGTGGTGCACAATATGATTTCTTTTCCTTCCTTTTTAAAATAACTACTCTGCATATTTGTTCCAAGTATTCATTCACCTGCTGATTAGTGGAGGGAGGGAGGAATATATGTAGGTCAAAATCAATTTAAAGTCTGGCCTAATCCACTCATTTAGATGGTTCCCTGGGCTGGTGATATAACATTCCCTCTTCCCCCGGTCCTGAGGCTTGAGCTCAGGGTCTGGGCACTAAACCCTAAGGATTTTTGCTCAAGGCTAGCACTCTACCTCTTGAGCCACAGATCTACTTCTTCTGCCTTTTGGATAGTCGATCGGTGATAAGAATCACAGGCTTTCCTGTCCAGGCTGGCTTTGAACCTGGATCCTCAGACCTCAGCCTCCTGAGTAGCTGGGATGACAGGCCAGGGATGGTGACATCACCGTTGTCTCAAAACATTCAGTCCGTCACGTCGCCTTCTCTCTCTTCCATCTTCCAGGAAGTTGGGTGAGGGTCTCCAAAGCCCACTGGACAGGAAACGCCACGGAGCACAAGGAGGTGGACATCCCCTGCGGCCTGCAGGCCCTGGGCACCACAGGCTCCCTGTACTCAGTGACCTGGTACCGGGGCGGCCCCCGTGGCCCGGTGCAGCTGCTGAGCCTGCAGTATGATGGCCTACAGGAGCCAGGCAAGGATGCAGCTGGGCGTGGGGCACGCATGCTCGGCCTCCGTGTCACCCCCACTGACTTCGTCCTGAAGCTGCGGCCCGTGCAGATGGAGGATGCCGGCCTATACTGGTGCGTCGTGGCCGAGTGGCGGCTTCACGGCTCCCCGGGCAAGTGGGTCAGCCAGGCCTCTGACGGCTCCCAGCACATGGAGCTCAGGGTGCTGCCCGCAGGTAACTGGGGCCCTGTGCCACACGTGACCACCACACGCAGAGTCAGCACACCTGCTGACAAAGCTACGCCCTTCTCCATCGTTAGCATAAGTCTTTGATTCCTTAAAGATGACCTGATTCGTTGAATGCCAGTGGCTCACACCTATCATCCTGGCCACTCAGGAGGCTGAGATCTGAGGATCACAGTTGTTCAAAGCCAGGCCAGACAACATATCCCAGAGACCCCTAACTCCAGTTAAAGAACAAAATGCCAGAAGTAGAAGTATAGCTCAAGTGGTAGACTGCCAGTCTTGTGCAAAAAAGTTCAGCAACAGTGCAAGGCCCTGAGTTCAAGTCCCAATACTGGCATTAAAAAAAAATAGGAGAGAGGAAGAGAAGAGCATTATTATTTCTTTCTGTACTAATTCATTTGAACAAAGTTTACATGAGGTTTTCTCATCTAACATGTTCTGCTCCTCCCCCCCCCCCCCGCAAAAAAAAACCAAGGAGTTGTCCACATTATGTGTCTTTAACCATTCAAATAGTGGATAAAAAGGTAAGGCAGATGCTTTGCTTTTCCTCTTGGCTGATCCCCCAACCTTGGAATGCAGGGGAAATGAGAGCACCACTTTGCATTTTAACCTGATTGAACCAAAGTCAGCTACCGCTAAGTACCAACTGAATCAGGCAGAAAAAACAAGTCAACCATTACAAAAAATAACAACAACAACAAATCCCAATCACCTTTCCCAAATATCAAGTGCTTACTTTTTACCTCTGTGTATTCAACACAAACACACACACACACACACACACACACACACACACACACCACATCACACACACACCACACCACACCACGACCGGGACTTTGGTTGTGAGAGTCATGTTAGAACATTTCCATACCACAACATCTGCCCAAGGCACTGAATGCCTAGAGAAAAAAAATTTCTTGCGACTGATAACTTCAGAGCTTTTAGTCCCTGGCCAGGCCCTCCACACAGGACCTGATGCATGTGTGGTGGGGCACCATCATGAAGCAGGAGACAGAGGAAGAGACTGGGGTCCTGCTGTCACCTTTTGGAACATGTCCCCAGTGACTTCAAGTCCTCCTATGAGGCCCTGTTTCTTCAAAGATGAATTGCCTGGGGACTTTTATTTTTTTTTTTTTCAGTCCTGGGCTTGAACTCAGGGCCTGGGCACTGTCCTTGAGCTCTTTGGCTCAGGCTAGCACTCTACCACTTTGAGCACCACTTCCAGTGTTTTGGTGGTTCGTTAGAGATAAGAGTCTCACAGACTTTCCTGCCCAGGCTGGCTTCAAACCACAATCCTCAGATCTCAGCTAGGATGAGTAGCTAGGATGACAGGTGTGAGCCACCACGTCTGGCCAGGGACCATATTTGTAACATATGGACCATTGGGGGATGCATAAGAGCCACACCATGGCATGGTCATTGGTGCCTCTTCCTATTGCACCTTGAAGACATCAAGAATGGAGGGAGGGTGCCCTGGAGAACTTACGTGCAGGCCCTTGCCCGTTACTGAAAGCCGTTCCTGGGTGGCACAGCCTGGCATGTGTAGGGATTATTAGAAGTTTTACAATAAAAGCAAAACTTCTTTAGCTACACTAGTAAGTCTTCCCACTGATCGATGGCTGTTTACAACATCTCCCAGATGATTCACATTCATTTGTTTAGTTTTTAATGTGTGCTGGGACTGAAGCTTGAACTCAGGGTCTGAGCACTGTGCCTTATTTATTTTTTTGCTCAAGGCTGGTACTCTACCACTTGAGTTACTCCTGGCTTTTTTTGCTGATTAGTTGGAAATAAGAGTCTCATAGACTTTCTTGCCCAGATGGTTTTGAACTGTGATCCTCGGATCTCAGCTGGGATTGTAGAGTGAGCCACCAGTGCAGGCACTCACTCAGATCGTTCTCTTTGTGGGGAAGCTCTGGGATGGGGAGGAAGGAGCTAAGCTGACCTCAGGGACAGGCCAGCCAAGACCTCAGCTAGTGCTAGTGACTCCCATCTTGGGGCAGGAGTGCTTTTGAGGACACTGCATTCCCTTGGAGACGGGACAGCCAGCCTTGTAGGCGGGAAGCCAACACCATCTCTGATTTCTTCCCCAGGGCTCCACCGTCCTCTTCCCTTGTCTATTGGTCAACTATTTTTTTCTCCTAAGTGTTCAGACAGAACATATTATCTTGCCAGCCTTTCATTCCAACAACTATAGGAAGTCCCACACCCTGAGCACATTCCGCACGTGTTTTCCCCTGGAGTTCCTAGGCTCTGCAAAGCTGGCAGACTTTTTTTTCAGAGGAATAAATAGCTACTTACTAAAAGCACCGATTCTGGGACTAGAAGGCATGGCTCCTCGGAGACCCTTGATCCTGGCTCTGTATCTATATTGCTGCTCCCTGTAGAATCCTTGTAAGACAGGTGTAAGATTTTTAAGATGAATTCCACAAAGGCAACATTAAAAATTGAGTAGTCTTTATGTCCTCCATCACTGACTGAAAAAGCCCAGAAACCTGGGGTATGGCCAGTGTGGTTTCCAGTCATTAAAAAGCTTCAAGGAGTCTGGAGGAAACCGCACCTGGGCTCCTTGTCAGTGCTCAGGGCCATGATCTAGGGTCAGCAAAGACCCTCAGGGGGAAGATTTTTATTTTAATTTTATTATTCTGTTTTATTTCATTTCTTTTGGTTTTATTGCAGGTACTGGGGCTTGAATTCAGGGCTTGGGCATGCTAGCTTAACTTTTTTCACTTAAGGCTAGTACTCTGTCACTTAAGCCACACCTCTACTTCTAGCTTTTTGCTGGTTAACTGGAGATAAGAGTCTCACAGACTTTCCTGTCCAGGCTGGCTTTGCACCAGGATCCTCAGATCACAGCCTCTTGAGTAGCTAGGATTATAGGCATAAGCCATGGCACCCACCTTAAAATAGCATTTTTAGCTAGTCATTAGAACATTTGTTCTAGGTAAATGCAGGCCACATTTATTTGCTAGTATCTCTTGTTTAGCTGTATTTTTTTTTCAATAAGGCTTTTTTTTTTTTTTTGGTTGTCGTGGAACTTGAACTCTAGGCCTGGGCGCTGTCCCTGAGCTCTTCAGCTCAAGGCAAGCCATCTACCACTTGAGCCACAGCGCCACTTCCTAGCTGTATTTTTTTTTTGTCTCTCTCTCTCTTTTTTTTTTTTTTTTGCTAGAGGAGTGCTTGGCCACTGAGTTACATCCCAGCCCTGCTAGTATCTTCTTTAAGTGTCTGCCTTTCTGCTTCAAGGGTTTGTAAATGTGGTCCTTTGACCAGCAGCCCTGGGGACCTATGATGTTTACAGTCCTGTCCTCTCTGCTTCCCTGGCCAAATGGACAGCTGTGCACACTCCCCACATCTGTGGGAGGATTGTTCTTCCCAGAGGGCCCAGCTACCAAGGGTCAGAGGCGTCCGCCTGCTTCTATATGGAGTCTTCAGCCTTGGGGTCACAAGCCAGGAGATTTGATTCAGATCCACAGAAGTTATTGGGAAACACATGACACCATCAGGCATCCTTAACCACTTCTAGTCAAACAAAAGAGGTTAAAAGGGAAGGAAAGGCCCGCGCATGACTGGAGGGCTTTGAAAAGGGAGCCAGGTGTGCTGTGTCCCAGGAAAGGGAGGCAGGACTGGGCACAGGGTGGTCAGGACGGCCTGCATGGCCTAGAGGAATAAGAGAGGGAGGTAACAGCCCAGAAGGTCAGGACAGGCACTCAGGGGAGGGGAGGGTGTCTGGGGGATTTGTGACTGGCTTAGGGGCGACAGGGCTGGGGGGCAAGGGAGGGTGAGGCCGAGAATCATGGCGGTGTGTGTGTGTGCAGGCTGTGTGTGTGTGCAGGCTGTGTGTGTGATGTGTGCGCCAGCAGCAGCCGTGGGAATAGCTCTGTTAAAAATTCAGCAGCCGCCACACAGTGGAGAAGGAGGGCTGAATTATAGATAGCGGCTCTAAGGGGAGAAGATTAAAGGCAAGGTTTCTTCTTTGGTTTTGTTTTGCTTGGGGGTTGGTGGTTTTATGTAGGTCATTGGTGGGGAATGGCTGGGAAGGGGAGTGGGGGAGTGTGTGCTGGTGGCAGGAGGGCGGGCCCTGGTCTGCCTCTGTCCTGGGCTCTCCTGTGGGGCGGGGTGGGAGTGGGGAGCAGCCTGTGCCAAGTGGCCATGTGATTTCCCATCTATTTGCCCAGAACAGCACGTGGCGGGGGGGGGGGGGGAGGTGATTGACAGGCCGGGGAAGCCACTCTGATGATTCTATTTTTTCACCTTTTGGTTGCAGAGTTGACATTCCCTTCCAGAATCTGCTCACGGCCACTGTTGGTCCACTTTCTGGTGGTCTGCCCGTTGGTATTGCTCGTCCTTCTGCTCCTTTCCCTCCTCTGCGTGCTCAGCCAGGCCAGGAAACGCTCCAGGCTGCGCCCTGGCGCACAGAAAGCCAAGGCTGTGCTTGTGGGCCTGGGAGGGGCGGACAGCTGCCCTGCTGAGGACCGGGACAGCCACTGAGACCTGAGCCAAGGCCCCGCAACTGCCTGGAAGGAGTGTGGTGGGCCTTTGGGGGTGGACGGGCCAGGGTGAGAACGGATCCCACTTCTGCTCTTCACTGACTTTGGCTGTAGACATGCTCCCCAGGGAACCAAGGGCATGTAGCGGGGCCCTTGGGTGGGACTAGGCCCTGCTATGCGATTCTTCGTGTGTTACTTCCCCCAGCCCCCTAGCAGCAACAGGGACCCCACCCAGAGGGAGAGAGGGGTCTGCCTCTCATGGTCTTAGGTGCCCACATGCCCCCTTGGAACACCCCCCCCGAAACACCCCACATTGCCCCCCCATCTTTCTTCTTCAGCTTAGAGGCTTGAGGAAGAGCCTACTTACTGTCTTTAGGGTCAATGGAATCGCCTTCTAGCTTGCTCAACTCGGACCTGCCTACCCTGGCAGGATGTACCTGCTTTCCAGCCGGAAATCCAGTTTTCTTCCCTTATCCATTGAGAGCTTAAGAGACGATGTTTAAGCAATGTTGCTTCTTTGAGTCATCCTAGCTGCTTAGGAGGCTGAAATCTGAGGATTGCAGTTTGAGGCTGGCTGGGACAGTCAAGTCTATGAGACTCTTGTCTCCAGTGAACTAGCAAAAATGCCAGCAACAGAACTGTGGTTCAAGTGGGAGAGTGCCAATCTTGAGCAAGAAAAAATAAAAGCTAAGCAAGAGTTTGAAGCCCTGAGTTCAAGCCCCCATATCTGCATACACAAAAGACTTATTTAGGTATTGTGGAGAGGACATTCTCTTATGTTTCCTGCCACAAACAAAGCTCCAGCTTCCCCTCTGAGGCCTCTCGTCTCTCCTTCCCTCCACCACAAGAGCCATCAGTGCCTCGTTCTCTTTGGACTGGTGGCCTGGGTGGCATGTAACCCAGTGACCCTTCAGCAGACTCCAGGGTCCCTTCCGGTCAGCCTAGAAAATTCCAAGGGTGGGGCCTCATCTCAGGAGCCTTTCAGCAAGTGCCCTCCCTCTGCCTGGAGCCCCTGTACCTCTGTTGGCAAAGCTGCTCCAGGCCCCATCACAGCCAGAATGGGACATCAATCAATGCCAACTAACTGAGGTGAGAACGGGTATCTATTTCGGGTTGATGTGACCAACAGAGTTGCTTTAGCACTCTGTAATTTGCATTTCCAAGGAGAGCAATTTATTTTCAATTATTTTTACCAGGCACATAGTCCTCTCCAAATATAATTAGCTCCTTGGTGCCTTTGAAAGCAGATTATCGGTGGTTATGAGCATGCTTGCTTGTAGACCTACTGGCTCCTTAAATCCGTCTTCCTTTATAGTCTCATTTGAAATAGTCCAAATATTTTCATATACATGTCAACACATTGACTTCTCTCCCAGGTAAGGGCGCTTGTTCTTTATTTGAGAACAAAGCTGCAATTAAGACTTCTTAGAAAGTACGATGTCCCTCCCACCAACTTCCGGAAACCTGCATTATAATTGGGACTTTGAAAGCAAAGAGAGAAGAGACAGAGAAGCATAGATCAGCCTTGAGCTTTGGCCTCCCTGCCTCTCCTCTCCTCCCCCTGCCAAGGAGGGGCTCTATGGTGACCCACTCAAGCTGGGGTGGACACAGAAGGACCACCTAGCACATTCGATTTCCTTACAAGTAACCTTGTGCCATCTGTCTCCTCATTAGTTTTCAGGCAACTGAGATGCCAAACACTTCCTTCCTTCCTTCATTCCTCTCTCTCTCTTTCTTTTTTTTTCTTTTCACTTTTGAACATGGAGAATCAAGTTTGCTTAAACTCTTCTCCAGTTCAGCATTCACTTCCGTCTAAAAGTCCCAGGACGGCATCACTGTCACTGCCCAATCCCACGGCTCCATTTTGCGCGCGTGCGCGTACACACACACACACACACACACACACACACACACACAGCTTCACTCCACACACACACACACACACACACACACACAGCTTCACTCTCCTCTCTGGTCAAAAACCTTGCTGGCAGCCTTTATCTCAGGGCAAACCCCGGCCCAAGGGTCCAGGGCACCTTGACACCAGTTCATTCAATTCAAATGATTGAGATCTGCTCCCTCCCCCTCCCATACGCTCCACATCTGGCTGCTTCCCCAGTGAAATGGCAGAATTGAGAGGTTGCCAAAGAGATCATCTGACCTGCAGAAGCTAAAGTGCTTCTTCTCTGACCCTAATGGGGGGAAACTTCCAGCTCCTACCCCTTCCTGATGATTAATATCTGCCCATCTCGGCCATGAGTTACGTTCTCAAGGAAGTTGTTTTGGCCTATGATATCTGAATCTGTTATTAATCCAATTGTGTTAATAAATAAGCTTGGGCTGTCATGATTGGCCTACACTCAGCCAACTCCTCCATTTCTGTCCAGGCTCCTGATAGAACAGGAGCATCCTGGTAGCATTCCACTCTGTTGAATCAAGAACCTTCTCTCTGCCACCGAGATGGGGGAGGCAGAGGGCTCCTTTTATTGTTCTTTACCTTTTGAGACATGTCTAGGAGTGGGTGGCTTATGGTAGGAGATGAATGCAATTTAGCTGGGCACAATGGTTCACACCTGTAATCCTAGCTACTCAGAGGGCTGAGATCTGAAGAACACAATGTGGAGTCATCGTGGATGGATAGCACACTCTCACGGGGATCCACCGTGACAGAGCTCCTTGTGAAAGTGCATCATGGGTCATGGTGGTGTGTGCACAGACCCAATTATTCACCAGGGATCCTGTGCCTGGTACTTTAGGATCTGAACAGGTAGAGAGGACAGGAAAAACAATTGGGCTGAGGCTGCATCCTCAGGGAACAATGAGGACTGGAACTACCGGAGCACGCATTTCTATTTCAAGGTGCTCAGATTAGACGTAGGATGGAAGGCAAGAGCAAGGTAATTAACACACTTGTGAGGACAGGATTCCGTCCCCCGTGATCATCAGGAGCAAAGAAGTGCCGGGCTGTGGGATTTCCACAGTGACAGGTGCATCCGGCGTGACAGCGCTAAGTGCCGGCCTGCTCTGAAAAGCAGACAGGAGTGAGCATGGGGAGGCAGCCTCGCCCCTACCTGCAGAGGCCCATCCACCCTGGGCGGGGTGATTGAATGGCTGCTCTCTGCTGCCTTACAGAGGCCTTTAAAGAGCCACATGAGAGTGTGTGGCGCTATCTCCCATCGCCGACGCAGATGCCACAAGTCCTCAGGGATGTCTTCGGGGAATCTTTGTATGGCTTAATGGTCTGTCTGACACCGGCTGTTCATGCCACCCTGCTGGCAGCAGGAAGCAGAGAAGCCCTTCTGCTCTCCACACCCAGGGTGCCGCCAGCCCGGCAGAGAGATGCTGACAGCAGACTGGCCTGCATCCCTCAAGGGCGGCCCAAATGCCTCTCAGCCCCATGACCGACAAGAGATGACCGTGTGTGCGAGTGCAGATCTGAAGCAACACATAGCATGACGTGGCAGAGCTCTGGAGGTGGACTCGGCTTCCATATTGAATAAGAGTTCCCAGCTCTGCTCAGCAGCCACTGCTCCCATCCATACACATCTACACATGCACACTGGAATCCCTTGCTTTACTGAGGAAGGGTCCCAAGCAGTGTTACATATGCATCATGTGGTCAGGCTCTGGGCTCACATTGGTACTCCCAGCTACTCAGGAGGCTGAGATTTGAGGATCTAGGTTCAAAGCCAGACCAGGTAGAAAAGTCTGTGAGGCTCTTACCTCCAATGAACCAGCAAAAAGCCAAAGGTGGAGCTGTGGTTCAACTCATAGCAAAAAACCTAAGGATTAGATAGCATGCCAGGCTCTGGGTTCAAGCTCAAGTATCAGCACTGTGTGTATGTGTGTGTATACACAAATATACATTATCCTTATCAAGCCCTTTCTACTTCTAAAAAGGAAGCCAGACCAACTGCATTTTATTTTTTAATTTTCTCCCCCTAGCCTCCTGAGTATCTAGGATTATAGGCATGAGTCACCAGCACCTGACTTACTTACTAATTCTTAACATGCTGGTCCTAATTCTTTCTTGAACACAAAATGAGGTCACTGTTTGGGTTCTCAGCCCTAGAGACTAATTTAAGGAAAGTGGAAGGTTTCAGGAATAATCAAGATATAGAAGCAGTGTAGACAGAGGAACATTTGGATAAAATCATGTGTTTTGCAGTTAAATGAGAAGATAGAGAAATTTCAACCTAGTCCTATTGAAGATATATATATATATACATATATATATATACATATACATATATATAGAGAGAGATAGGTATTCATATCTATATTTATACATATATATACTTAGAGATACACACTCACGTATATGGAAATGAACCAGAAACAGAATCACTGGGGACTCCTTACTAAGAGACTTTGTACCTGTATTAATTAGCTAATTCAATTTACACATAGATTGAAGTGCAACAGGCACATTTGGAAAACAAATGTTATGGCGGATGGCAAATAATTAGCTCGGGAGTTGGTACTGGTCTGCTCAGTCAGCCATCACAAATGCCCTAGGCTGGGTGGTGGTGGCCACCGGAGTTTCTCTCAGCTCTGGAGGTGGAAGGTGAACTGTCTGGCATCTTTCCTTTGAGGGCGTTAACACTCTCATGAAGTCCTTGCCCTCATGACCTTGTTGAAACTCATTATCTCTGCAAAGCCCCATCTTTAAAGGCCAGAAAAAAAGCCTGGCACTGGTGGCTCACTCTTGTAAACTTAGCTACTCAGGAGGCCGAGACCTGAGGGTTGCAGTTCAAAGCCCGTCTGGGCAGAAAAGTCTATGAGACTCTTATCTCCAGTTAACCAGACAAAAAAAAAAAAAAAGAAAGCCTGAAGTGGCTCAAGTGTAGAGCGCCAGCCTTGAATGTAAAAGCTAAGCGACAGGGCCCAGGGCCTGAGCTTCAAGTTCCAGCAATGGCACTAAAACCAAACATCATAACAGTAGGGATGCAACGTCACAAATGCATGCTGTGAGTTGTGTATTGACCACAGCAGAACTGACAACAATAACTAGCAAGCTAAACCAAGCAAACCCAGTTTGTACTGACCCCAGATGTGCATTCTTTATGTCTAATGGTGTGTTCTGGACGGTGTAAGTTCTTTGAGTGCTATAGGGTTGCTATTTTTTATTGTGAGCGCATGTGTGTGTGTGTGCACATGTGTGCACATGCACATACACACACACACATGCATGGGTGGCACGTACAATCTAAAAGCAAAACCAGTGGAACGAACTGAGGAAAATTTCTCACCTGTCACTTAGCCGTGCTCAGGCTCCTCTGTCCCAAATAGGCAATTATGGAAGTGGTAGGAATGGCGGCTCTCTTGGGTGAAAGGGGTTTCTCCAACGTGGGTGTGGTGTTCTGGTGCCAACACAAAAGGCCCTGGTGTTGTCTGTCTCCACCACCTCAGGGCTGCAGGCTAGCGGTGAAGATATGCAGGGGACAAAACAAGAATGGGAGATTAGCAATGAAGGTCATTAACACCTAAGAGGGAGAGAGAAAGCAGAAATCAAAGCCCATCAACCGCAAAGAGGAAAACTATCCTTTCCTCGCTCCTCGAGGGGCTCTGGTACTGGACTCCGCTGTGTGGGTAGCTCGGATGGAACTGCCCGGCTGGGGAAGGTAACTGGCAGAAGCAGGCCTGCAGCGAGACCCCGGGAGAGACAGCAAGCTCCATGCAAAGCAGAGGGCACAGTGACAACCTCTGTCTCCTGTCATTTGGAGGAGGTGTATAAACAGCCAGGCATACTCGGCTCATATTTTTCATCCTAGCTACTTGGGAGGCAGAGATCTGAGAATCATGGTTCAAAGCTAGCCTGGGCAGATAATCTGAGACTCTTATCTCCATTTAACAAGCAAAAAGACAGACTGGAGTCGTGGTTCAAGTGGTAGAGCTCCAGCCATAAACTAGAAAGCGGAGCAAGATCCTGAGGCCCTGAATTCAAGCCCAAATACACAAACACACACACACACACACACACACACACACACACACACACGTGTCAAGCCTCTTGTCAGATTTTTTTATTGTGAAAATACCGTATAGAGGGGTTACAATGACATGGGCAAGATAATGAGTGCATTTCTTATCAAGCATTGTTGCCTCCTCCTTTGTTTCCCCTTCCCATCCCTTCCCATCTGCCCTCCCTCACCCCTTCCCTTGTCAGATTGGTTTTTCATTCTTATCATACAGACAGTGTCTGTGTAAAAGGGGAGGTGTAAAATAGTCATGTATTTGAAAGACACAAAATGAAGTAAAATTGAATTACCATTACACATCTTGAAGCACAAAGAATGGAAGAAGAGGATGGGCCTTCTGTGTGGATTTTATGTAAATACGCTGTCCTCTTGTGGACATTTAGAGAATTGCATCTACAAAATTGTATCTGTCTCTAGTCTTGGATTTCTGGAGCTTATCAGCATACCACCACAAACACTAAACACTTGGTGATATGGAAGTTATGCATCTGAATGAATCACTGAATAAGTGATGCTTTACAAAAACACTGTCGTAGAGAGAGCTGGATGGGGAGTCTCAAGGCATGGCTCCAGTGTCTGATCTGTTGGCATCAGCTTTGGGACTCTGAGCCAGGACAGAACTGGTTTTAAGAGTTGTAGGAGAGGTGGGTGAGTCAATGAGAAGTGTGGCCCCCAGCCAGTTCTGTAAGTGCTCTCTATTTCAGTCCAATGTCTTCATCTTTAAAATGTGCGTGCAAGCATACCCAGTGCCAGGGTGGTTGTGAACACAGAATGCAATAATATCTGTCAAAGCCCTCATCAGAACACATGCCGGAAGAAGACAGGATGTGAGATCAGAGGCTTGGTACTTGCAGAGGAAAAAACCTTTTCATTAATGTCTACTTAAGGACTTGATTTTGTCTTATTTGTTTCAAATTGGTATTATGCAAAACAATAATTGTCGTGTTCATTTTCCTACAAATCAGATATTTATAATCTATACCTTTCCATATAGCATCTATTAATCACATACACAAAGATCTCTATGTTGCAAGAATTACAATCTGGGAATAATGAAAATACTCCCACTTAGCTGGGTGCCAGTGGCTCATACTTGTAATCCTCACTACTAAGGAATCTAAGATCTTTTTTTTTTTTTTTTGTCAGTCGTGGGCCTTGAACTCTGGGCCTAAGTGCTGTCCCTCAGCTCTTCAGCTCAAGGCTAGCACTCTACCACTTGAGCTACACTTCCGGTTTTCTGGTGGTTTATTGGAGATAAGAGTTTCATGGACTTTCCTGCCCGGGCAGGCTTTGAACCACGATCCTCAGATCTCAGCCTCCTGAGTAGCTAGGATTACAGGTGTGAGCCACCGGCGCCCAGCTGGAATCTAAGATCTTAAGCATCATGGTTCAAAGCCAACCCTGAGTAGTAAAATCTATGAGACTCTTGTTAGGTTTTTAAAAAGAGGTAGCCAATTAAGAACAGCACCACGCACGTGGTATTCAGGTACGGGGTAGGTTTATTCAGTAGACCTGCTGGGACCAGGCAAGGTTGGCACTCCACGTGGCTGGCAAAAGAGAGCGTCTGGCTCTGGGTTATGCCTTATATAGGGTAGGGACAGGGAAAGGTGTGTCCAGGTAAAGGGAAGTGGGACCAGGTAAGAGGTGGGACCACGTGGGAGAAAGGTGTGGCCACATCAGATTAAGATGTGACCTCAACAGATGCAGAGGTGACCTCTTCCAGGTGTCCCAGTTGGCTAGGTAACGCAGGTACTGGGCGAGGTCTGTTCACCATCCAGGAATGGACCTTACAACTCTTATCTCCAATTAACCAGCAAAAAGCCAGAAATGGAGCTGTGGTTCAAATGGTAGAACATCAGCCTTGAAGGAAGAAGCTAAGCAAGAGTGCAAAGCCTTGAGTTCAAATCTCAGTACTAACATACACACACACACACACACACACACACACAGAAACATACACACACACACAGAAACAGTCCACCTATTTATCTTTGTCTTTGTCTTATGTTAGTGTATCTCTATGTATTTCAGATAAGAAGTGACATCGATATTCATTCTACTTGGGAATTCCAGTCACATCTTTTTCCAGCCCTCTATTCATCTTGACATTTGCTATTTTATATTTGCCATTTAAGGTTTCAGCCTCCTCTATTCAGTGAATTTCCTGTGATAAGAACAATTGTTTTATACTTCAAGTGTCAATAAAGGAAATTATTCATTTATTGCCTCCTAGAACATCTTCTCCACATTTGGGAACACACAATGCTATTTAACAAGTATTGTTTAATTAACAAATGATACTTCAGTTTTGTCTCCACTCTCTGGGCCCCTGTAACATTTGTGTTCATCACAGCCCGGATTCCCCAGTCACAGTCCTCCTGTCCCGTCCCTACAAGTACATGTGTCACTCCGTATGTCTGAGACATATGGTCCTCCATGTCTGGCATACGAAGCCCCTCTCCATCAACAAATCCTCCCTTTTGGTTCACTGACGGAACCGATGACAACCTCACATACATTTTCATTTCCTCCAACCTCATCTTTGATTTTTAAAACTGGGAGAGTCTGCCAGCACAGAAAGTTTGACGATACAGAGAAAAGCAAAATTAGCCTTCACTAAAAGAAAGATACGTTATCCATGGCTTCTCAAGGAGAGGGTTTAGACATCAGGTGCTCAGGACAGAGGTGCTGAGGCTGGAAAGGGGATCCAGCATCCGTCTGGACAGATGGTCCACTCTGGACAGATCCTTGGGTGAACTTGGGGGACCATTATATCCAAAAGAGGGGGTGGGGAAAATGTTCATTCCAGGGCAGATCCCAGACCAAAAGCACAAAATACAGTCAGGCCCTGTGGCTCTCACCTGGAATCCTAGCTTCTCAGGAAACCAAGATCCAGAGGATCGTAGTTAAAAGCCAGCCCAACTCTAGAAAAAGCCTGGCTGGAGGGCCTGGCTCGTGTGTGAGTGTGTGTGTGTGTGTGTATGTGAGAGAGAGAGAGAGAGAGAATTAGGGCTTGAGGTCAGGGCCTGGACGCTGCCCCTGAGTTTTTGCAGCAGGCTGGGGCTCTACCACTTGAGCCACACTTCCTGATTTTTGCTGGTTAACTGGAGATAAGAGTCTCGAGGACTTTCCTGCCCGGGCTGGCTTCAAACCCTGATCTCAGGTCTCAGCCTCAGCCACCGGCGCCCAGTTTTGGAGTTGTCGATCTCAGGAGCTGACCTGGCCAACCAGCCCAGCGCCTCCATCCCGCCGCTCCCGGGATCTGCGGGTCCGGCCGGGTTCCCGCGAGGAGCCGGCCCAGGCGTCAGGCCGCCACACCCCCTTACCCCAAGTTTGATTTCGCGCCTATGAAACCTAAGAGCTTCTATGATTGGTTGAAGATGAATGAATCTCGCCTCTGATTAGCTGATAATCGAAGGAGGCGGGACTAAAGCTAGGGGCGGAGAATTGTAGGGCGGGGTGAGACTTCAAGGGCTGTGTGGTGATTGGCTCCAGCACGGAGAGGGGCGGGGTGAGGGGGGGGGAGCGCAGGCGGGGGCGGGGCTTCCTGCCGGAGCGGAGCCGGGTGTCATGGACGCTGTCCGGTGTCCGGCGCATGGTGAGGCCGGAAGCTCCGGGGCCCCGGGGCCGGTGGGGCTGGCGGGGCTGGCGGGGCGCCGCTCCGGTGACCCTCTTGTCTCCTCAGGGACCTCCTGCTTCTTGAAGACCGGCGTCCGCGATGGCCCGAATCGAGGGAAGAGCTTCTACGTGTGCCCGACGGACACCTGCGGCTTCGTCCGGCCCACAGAGTAAGTTTGCGGGTGGAGTTCCGGACCGGCCGGCGCGCCGGGACCCCAGACACCCCCTCAGAGCCCGGACGCCCCTCAGAACCCCGGACCCCCGCCTCAGAACCCCGGACCCCCCTCAGAGCCCCGGACCCCCCTCAGAGCCCCGGACCCCCCTCAGAGCCCCGGACCCCCCTCAGAACCCCGGACCCCCCTCAGA